GAGTGAGAGGCTGCATGACAGGATTATTGATAAATTATATGTGATCATACATCAGTTCATTAACATCCAGCATTATTTGCATTTCGATTTGGACTTCAGTCAGAGTTGCACAAAATAACATGGTATTGTCTAACAAAGGAAAACGGGTGCAAATATAACTAAAAATATTTGACCATTTACCACAACATGCTCTATGCCAAATTCATCAGTATATACCCTATTGGGAATACGTTGATGGGCCGCAAGATATCTATTTTCCTGACCATAGCCAGTAATAGGGGATCCAATCCTCACTCTAACCTGATATAAAGCAACTTCAATCCTGCTGAATCCAAAGCATAATCATACGAGTTAAATTCATTACTTGAAACTTCTGTCAGAATGCAATAATGGTTTGTATAATGTTTAAACAGTAAAACATCATATGAACCATCACCAACATTTTGCATGAACTAAAGAGCATTTGATTTTTCATATTACTGGTAAATTGCTAGAAGAGAAAATGAACATATAAGTGTATTCATCATTATTTATAAATATCTATCTAAAATTTATAATAGAATAGAGGTTATGGTTCATGGTCTAGTATCGTACTTTATACCTGCAAATTCTGCCAACCCGACGCTGTATTCACTTATTCATAAAATGTCTAGCAACTAAATTATCTCTCCTCCTCAGACCAGCCCAATACTCAATTAGTATTTACCACTTCTAAAAATTCAAGGTAACAAGATTAAAAAAAAAATGATGAATTTGCAAACCTGGCCGTGGTCTTGAATTCTTTTCAGAGCCTTGTTAAAAAATTTATGTAGACAAGTGCCATTAGAAACACAAGTACGGAAAGAATTTTAGCAACAGGTGGATCAAAACGATTTAGGAGAAGCAAGAAGAAAATAACTATTAGAAATCGGAGGAGCGTTGAAACAAAACAAATTACATAATAAAATGGAAAATGATAGAGTCACCGAAAATACACACCGAATCTGTGCACCGAATGACGTGGTGAAATTCCGACCGTTGATTAATATTAACTGATAATGAATAAACGGTCAGGATTGTGCCACATCATTCGATACACGAATTCGGTGCGCATCCTTCGGTAACTACAACATTACTCTAATAAAATTGTACTGAGAAGAACCTGTGTAAAAGAAGAGGAAACATTTTTTAATGAACATTCACAATCTCTTCTTTATTTCTTAGGAAGAGAAACAATCTCACATCTCTCTGCTCTATACAATGAGGAAGAGATACAAAGTGTTATACCTAAAAAATCAAGGTTAACGCGAGTTTATGTCAGTCAGCGCCAATCAGAGTTCAGGAAGACTTTGTGTCATCCAGGAGCTATCACGTCGTCAGAAGACAAAAAGAGTGTAGTTGTCATCAACTTGGCAGGCTCAGGCTTTATTTGCGAGTGGATGTGAGTCACCCACCTGTCCAAACCCTATGCGATTTGAGGATATCTGCCGTGTAATCAACCAATGAGAAGCACGGTAGGAATTGTACTACACCTGCCCAGTGGCAGACTTGTAGTCATTACCCTGAAACCTTCTATTATAAATAAAGGGCTCATTCTCTCATTTTGGGGATTCTGATTAGAAAATCACATTCTGATTGTAACCTTTTACTCTCAAAACTCAGATAACTTGCGAGAAAGAGACTGACTTGATTTTCTCTCTGAATAATTAGTCACTTGTACCTGCTCCTACTCGCTATACGCGATCTCCTGTAACCTCATAAATAAATAAAATAGCAGTGGACGTGAGATTCATTTTAAGCATCCGAACCACTTTAAAAACCATCTTTCATTTTTCTTCATTGCATTTTCCATTCACGTGTAATCTCTAAGTCAACTAAGCACTTTGCACATGCGAATCATTGATGTCAAAATCAAGTATCAACACAAAGTTATGTTCTTTTTTTTTTTTTTTTTTTTTTTCGGGTAAAACGTAATATATAAATAATAAAAGAATGAGTCCCTAAAAGCACCAAAGTTAATGTATCTACGTTGTTGTTCTGAAAATTGATGGCGTTAGATTGCAATGTTACAATCTATATGATCTAATGATGTGGATTTCTTGTCGAGGTCTCAATACCACACTATGAAAATGCTTATCTTGGGAAATTTGGAAATAATTCCCATTTCAACATTAATCAACCCACATTATTTCTTGTGTTGGCAAATTTGAGTTTCTCATGATGGTCATAGACAAACTTAAATATTTCTTGGAATAATGAAGAAAAACAAAACACATACACGCAGATTCTTGATGATGTGGGTATTAAATTCAACTGACTAATGCAAATAAAGAAGTATCATTTTTCAGTCTGCGTCAGATATATACAAATACATATACATATACATTGCCTTGACATGATTTCTCCATCAGAATAAAAAAATCAACAAATCCTACAAAGAATACTTGAAAGCTCATCACGCTTAAAAAATCAACAAATCCTACAAAGAATACTTGAAAGCTCATAAGAATAATAATAGAAAGATAGAATTTCTCTATTGATTGTTACATGTAAACCTTACTTGCGTTCCCAGTAGTTAAAACTGTACAGGAGTTTACATATAAAATATGTAATTATGAAATTATATATAATGTCGCTAGCTCCAACGATTAAGGCGTATCAGGAACTTTATAATCATCAGCGGTTATATATTTCAAACGCAAACCCGGAAACAGATTGTCCAGAACTTTCTGCACACTCCTTGGTTCCTTCTTGATCCTTCGTGGCCGCTTTGATCCACCCATTGCCATTATACCCGCTTCAATTTCTTCTTCAGTTAGCGAAATACAGACTTTATGCTTTTCTTTCCCTCCTGAATTTCCTCCAGGTGCAGCCAGGGTTTGATTCTCTACGTCCGCAATTCTCTTCTTTTTGCTCTGCTTACCAGGTTGCTCACCCTTGATTTCTTCTCCGAATCTCAAGCTTTTCACAGTCTTTATTAGTTCTTGTGACGGCTAAAATCTGTTCCTGATCGGTCTTTATTTTTGGTCCACCTTCTGATGCCGTTTGAATCTTTCCCCGAGGTCTCAACTTTTAGAGCTTCTCCATCACTTTTTGCGTTGGCTACGATTTGATCCACTGCATTCGAAGCTGTACCATTGTTGCTCTTCACACGGAATTTTGTCTCAAGTTTAGGTCTTTCATTGAAAGCCGCTGATTTCTTCTCGGAAGTGTCAACCACCTTACCGATGACACAGTCATAAAGAAGTTAAGTAAAGGTTGTGATAAGAGAGAAACAGTTGAAGCCATTACTGAGTTTCTTGTAAAGAAAAATTTGATCATGATCTTGTGATATTTATACAAGTGACGCTCTATTGAAGGGAAGTTAATGTTTACTTTCTTTTAAATGGATTTGAATTTAATTGTCAATAATGCCCTCAACTTTAATTCAATGGATTTCAGTGTTTAAGTTGGGTTTTGACTAGAATCTACTTATACTTTCGTAAACTGGTGCCAGTTGTTTCTCACATCTGAATAACTCTGTTTATTATTCACTTATTAGCTGTTTAAAAATGAATTTGTAAATTGCTTTTTTAGATATATAACAATTGTATGAATGACCATTCATCAGTATACTAAAAAGGATGCGTTGTTGCAAAATAGAGGAACACATTGATACACTTAAATGGGCTTTTGTTTGCTCGGGCTAAACTTAGAACAACTTATCAAACCCATATACTGACAGTCCAAAAACATGGAATAGAACCAAAAAAACTACAAAAATAGAAAGGGGCCACCCGGGCAAAATCAATCAATTTTCTTTCGGTACAACATAACCACTCAAATAATTAGAAAAGAAAGATGAAAACTACTCATGGAAAAAAGTTTCTTATGATTTGTAGGTTGTTTGCATACTCTTATAAGTCGTAAGAGATCAATTATGTTTGCAAGATGATATTTATTGGATAAGCATCAGAAAGGGGCTTCTGTTGATATGATTTTTAGGGACTTCTTCCATTGAAGAATGAAGATAAGCATAGACTAGTTCACATCAAATTACAAGCTCCAGTCTGCTAGCGAAATTTTGAGTCATCCTTCAATCCACCCTTTTAACGCAGAGAGTTGATGAATGTACACAATTTATTTCTAATTCAGTGGTTTGTTATATATACTAAATTTCTTTATGATGATTGTTTGCTTCTGGTATTTATAATATATTTTGAACTTTCAAGGACAATAGGACATTGGATAGGTGGAGTATGAGCCCATGTACAGTGAAACCATTTTATCTTATATTTATTACTGTAGGTAATGAGTAATGGCTAATAACTCTTGTCAGCTTAGGTGACTCCAGTCCATTCATTCTCAACCTGACTTATATCTACCATTCTTATATTCTATAAACGTGGAGGTCCCCTCTCGTCCCCTATATAATAATGGTTCTGCATCAAATCATTTATCTGGTAGAACATGCATATGTCATTTGATGGGGTCGGAAAGAAGACCGCATATTCAACTTTGGGAAAGCATATCGAAGCCATCAGACTCACAGTTGTCGTTTTCTACTGTTAAAAACACTCAAATTTCTTGCCATCAAAGTTTAAGATTAGATCATAAGTTTTTTTTTTTTTTTTTTTTTTTTGGGGTCACACAACAGCTTCAGCTACATCTACACTTACCTTGTTTGTTTTTGAAATAAACACAAAATATTTACTATTATTTATTTATTAATTGCCCTTTTTCAAATGTAAATTAAAATGCATGAAACGTCACCCGTCGATCGTCATGCATAATCCTAGACTGGACAGGGTTGTCAAAATTAGTTTGGTGACCCACATAATAACTATCGGTAGGTGTAACGATCTTTTTTTAACCTTCTTGGAGTAAATGTGAGCTCATTAATAGACAAAAAAATCGTCATAAAAGTCTACAAATATTGGGTTGGGTGGACCAGATATATAACTGTGAACAGTTGATAAATATTGATTTTCACTATTAGAAAGAGAAAATGCTTTATATTTATTGAATGTCAAAATGAAACAACACTGGGTCAGTAGGCTGAGTGAGGAAGATCACTTATTTATATGGGCGTAAGCAAGAGGAAACGATTACCAGAGACATCCATTAGAGAGAGATATATATATACCTTGATGAGAAACATATACATGTGAAAGTTTCAAGACGAAGAAGTTCGGTGATTAACTAATTTTCGGAGAAAATTTTCAGGTCTTTGTTATTTATATTTTATTTGGTGTTTTGTCATGAATTGTTTTTAGTTTCCCATTCAATTTTAGAGATTTTTAGGAAAGATTTTTTTTTATTATTATTATTTAATGGCATGATAATTCCTGTAATTTTTGTTTCCTTTACGTAGCAAGTTACATAGCAGAAAGCCGGGCAAACTCTGTAGAATCTGGAAGATTTAACACTCAAAAGTGTAGTGTATTTTCTATTTTCATTTCTTTACTCTCCCTTGAGTGAATCATTCTGGACATTTATTTACATGTACAGATATCTTAGAAAATAATGTAGGAATAATATATATATATATNGCCGGGCAAACTCTCCAGAATTTGGAAGATTTAACACTTAAAGTATAGTTATATAATATAACTAGAAAAAAAGAGTAGTTTTGAACTTAATATTTTCTATTTTCATTTCTTTCCTCTAGCTTGAGTGAATCATTCTGAACATTTGTTTACATGTACAGATGTCTTAGAAAATAACGCAGGAATAATATTATATATATATATGTTTATCATAATCTATGGATAAATATGCATCGAATCATTCATCTTTTCATATCAAACTTATGAGATGTTTATAAGTTGTGATTATTTGCCAGCTTCGTTTTAATTATCTGCTGTCTAGCCGGCGTATGTTTTAAATCAACGATTCTGAGAAATCAGATCCGATTTGAAAGCTTTACTTTAGTTTTGAAAGTTGATTGTCTATTTATTGTGATCATTAGTTGCCTGTTTACATCCAGGAGAAAGAAGTTGTCGAAGCAGAGAGTGAATCACTGAGGAATAAGAAAATGTTGAATGGGTCAGGAAGTTCCTCTGAATATAAGCATCAAAAAGAAGACGAGGTAATTATTGATATCAAAGAAAATGTTGAGCGTCAATATTGTTGTATTTATAAGGTTCCTAAGAAACTTAGGAACATAAATAACGATGCTTACACTCCTCACATAGTTTCAATTGGTCCATATCACCATGACAAAGAAAAACGGGATGACCTAGAAAGCAAAAAGGAATGGAAATGGGGTGAAATGCAAAATCTAAAGAAGGGCTATCAGGTAAAGTTTTTTAAGAATATCAGAAAGAAAGACAAACTCGAGAACTTTGTCAAAGAAGAGGAACAACGCATCCGCTATTGTTACGAAGCAACATTTGAGAATTTCAGTTCAGATGAATTCATAGAGATGATCCTGGGTGATGCTGTCTTCATCATTGAACTCTTCTTGAGGAATTACCATGATGATAGAGGAGATTTTTTGGTTAGTAAACCGTGGCTAACAAATGCTATAAAACTGGACTTGCAATTACTTGAAAACCAGCTTCCATACTTTGTCCTGGAGGAGTTATACCTGTTAGCCTATGGCTGCTCCGCTAGACCTTCCTTCCTTACTCTTTCTCGCAAGTTTTTCGGTTATAAGGAGCCCGATGAAGAGGCCATACAGGATATGGAAATTAAACATTTTGTCGACTTGAGAAGACATACTATGTTGGTCGGAGTCGAAATCGATGAAAAATTACCAAAGTCTTCGGGCGGAAAAATTGAAGATTTACCAAGTGCAGTGAAGCTGCATGAGTCCGGGGTGAAGTTTAAGTCGGTCAAAAACAAAGATGCAGTGAAGCCGGGTGACTCGAAGAGGAAGTGTAAGCCAGAAAAAGGTTTACTTAACATAGAATTTGAAAAGAGAGAAAGAGAAGACTCGTGTATTTGGTGGCTTAGAGGACAGGTGCTAAAGATTCCACGCCTTAAAATTGAAGATGGTACGGAATGTTTGTTTCGAAACTTGATGGCCTTGGAGCAGTGCCATTATCCATTTGAAACTCATATTTGCAACTATATTGATCTAATGGATGCTCTGATCAACACGAGAAAAGATGTGGATTTGCTTGTTGACCATAGAATCATCTCCAATTGTGTGGGCGACCATGATTCAATTAAAGTGATGTTTAACAGACTCTGCCTTGAGATTACGCCAAGTACTTCCTGTTACCTAGACATTTGCAAGAGGCTGAAAGAACACCACGAGAGATGGTGGAATCGCACCAAGGCAACGTTGATTAGTGTGTATTTTGAAAATCTGTGGAGAGGGACTGGAACTATTGCTGCAGCCATACTCTTACTGCTCACTCTGTTACAAACCATCAAACGATTCTATCCGGCCCTGTTTACGGATCCATAATAATTTAAGTTTGTGTGTGTTTTTAGTACTTGTATAATTAGAACCTCTACTTCCTAGTTCCTAGTATTACGCTGCTAATAACTTCGGATCTGTAGCTTTCATTTATAATAATGTATTCTCTCCCATGCCGTATGTATTGTTCAACCATTTGCAATATCTTTAGCTTACCTAATAAATTATGCTTTAATCAAACTTATGCAACTTCGAATTAATGAAACTGCTATTAGGGTAAGGCAAAAAGAAAAGAAAATGTTAACACTTTTTCACCTGTAAGTACATAAATTAACCAAAATTTCATATATGTTTAAGAATGTGTTTTCTGAGTAACCTTAGATATCACTTACGTGCCAATAAGTTTAGTTCAATGGATTTCACTAAGTTCGATTTTGACTATAATTATAATTATCCGAAATTGGTGCCAGTTGTTTCTCAGGTCTAGATAACTCTAGGTATTATTAATACTACTTATTAGCCTTGTATTGGCATGTTATATGTATCGACGAATTGCTTCTTAGGATATATAGTAATTGTGTTGACCACCATACATCAATATGCTAAAAAGAGATCAATGTTCAATAACTAAATCATCAACAAGCTGAAAGTACCCACGAATGATGAGATCGTAACATGACTACATTGATAAAGTACTTTGTGTTTATAAACAGAATCTCTAGAGAGGCACTGGAATAAGATAACTAATGTTATAAATCTGCAAACTGTATACTATTTTCTTACTACTGATCACTTTGTTACAAGCATGCATACATATTGATTTTAGTACTTGTATCTGAAAGTTTGTTTTATAATACTGAAATATTAGCGATTTTTATCATTTGAATTACTAAATTATTCTAGCTTTATATATTCAACTATTTGAGATAGGTTTCTCAAAACGAGAGTGAATTTCGTTCGAACAACTGTTATAAATAATTTGGATAAAGCTAACGTTAAGTTGCTTTTTTTTTTTTTTTTTTTATATGATTTTTACAGACTTTTTCCATTGAAGAATGAACGTAAACATAAACATAAACATAAACATCAAATTTCCAATGATCTGTGTCTGTTATTGTAAGGAGCGATCAGGCTCCAGTCTGGGAGCGAAATTTTGAGTCATCCTTTAATTCACCCTTTTAATGCAGAGAGCTGGTGAACGTATAAAATTTGTTTCTAATTTAGTGGTATGTTATACATATCAAATTTCTTTATGTTGATTGTTTTTCTGGTATTTTATAATATATTATAAACTTTTAAGGACAATAGGACATTGGACATCTGGAAAGATATTTTATCTATATTTGTTACTGTGGGTAATGAGTAATGACTAATAACTCCTGTCAGCTTAGGTGAATCCAGTCCATTCATTCTCAGCCTGACATACATCCACCATTCTTATATTCCATAAATTGTGGCGGTCCCTCCCCTCCCCTGTATGATAATGGCTCTGCAACAAAATCTTTTATCCGAGGAACATGCATGTGTCAAGATACTTGGTGGGGTCTGTGAAGCCGGAGTTACGGAAAGAAGACCGCACATTCAACTTTAGGAGGGCATCGAAAGCCGCCAGTGACCAGACTCAGAGTTGTCGTTTTATACTCTTAAAAACACTCATATTTCTTGCCGTTAATAGTTTATCGATTAGATCAGAAGTACTTTCTACTGTTTTTTATTTTGATTTTTGTTATGCTCACACAACAGTTATACCAATCTTCCGTAGGTGAACACGGGTAAGGTAAAATCAGAATCTATGGATAGAATCAAAATTGAAATTAGAATCTATCCAAAATTAATACTATATTGATAGGATTCTATTTATTAAAACCGATACTGTGTGGTTTCAGTTCTAGTTTCTGTATATGAAGAAATCGGAATCAGAACTAAAACCGAAACCTGAAAATAGAACCTAAAACGGGTATCTTGTTTGGAACATATAGCAGATACCCAATTTAAAACCTGTTTGGAACCGATTTTTGAAACTTGTTTGAGAACCGATTTTTGGAACCTGTTTTGAACATATTTTAGAACCTGTTTTGGAACCTGTTTTGAAACCTATTTGGAATCTATTTTGGAACCTGGACTATAGTTAAATATTTGTGAAATGTGAATAACAGGGGGTTCTATTATTTAACATATAAAAAAATTTAAAATAGAAAAAGCTAAATTCTTAGAATAACCTAATTAAATAAATATACAATTATATTTATTACATATAAATTATACTATATTAAAAACTTTAATATATTATAATATATTGATATTAAATTTTTAATTAATTAAGTGAATAATTGGAATTATGATCCAATTAAAAATTTTTTAAATTTTTAATGTTATTAAAAGAATTATTTTTGAATAAAAAAGTATATTTGATTGAATAATAATATATTTAGTTATTTACTTCAATTATCAAGTGCTAAATATATCTCTAGCAAATTAGCAATTAATTAATTATAAATGATAAATTGATAAACATTAATAATTTTATTACTAGTTAAATATCATACTTAATCAATTATAACATTACATTATATAATTAATTATAATTTGATAACATTACTTAATTTGTTTATAGTATAATTAATTATAGCATTACATTATAGATTTATAGTATAATTACTTAATCAATTATAACATTTCATTATAAACATTAGTACAAACTTAATTAAATGATTGAAAATTTAATTAATTATAATATTACATTAAAGATTTATAGTATAATTACTTAATTTATTATTAACATTACATTATAGTATGATTACATAATTAATTATAATATTACATAATTAAATGTTTACTTAATTGATTATGACGTTATATCATAAATATTAGTAATTATTATTATATAAACATTAGCACAATACTTAATTAAATGATTAGAAATTTAATTAGTTACAATATAACATTATAAATTTATAATACGATTACGTAATTAATTATAACATTACATTATAATTCAATGATTATTTAATTAATTATAGCATTCAATTATAAATAAATTAATTATAATATTACATAATTATATGATTGTTTAATTGATTATAACATTATATTATAAACATTAATTATAACATTATATTATAAACAAATGATTATAAATTTAATTAATTAAATATTATATTATAGTTAAATAATTACTTTATTAAATTATAACATTATTATATTAGATTATATTATGATCACTTAATTAATTATAGTATTATATAGTTAAATGATTACTTAATTAGCTATAAATTTATAACATTACATTATAAACATTAGTAATTTATTACGTTATTACATTATTTAATTAAATGATTACAAATTTAATTAATTATAATATTACATTAAATATCTATAGTCTGATTACTTAATTCACTATAACATTAAACTATGATCACATAATTAATTATAACATTACATAATTAAATAATTACTTAATTGATTTTGAGTTATGACGCGTTACATTATAGTTAAATAATTACTCGATTAAATTATAACATTATTATGTTATATTATATTATGATCACTTAATTAATTATAACATTACTTAGTTAAATGATTACATAATTAGTTATGAATTTATAACATTACATTATAAACATTAGTAATGTACTATATTATTACATTACTTAATTAAACGATGAAAAATTTAATTAATTATAACATTACCTTATATATTTATAGTATAATTACTTAATCAATTATAAAATTATATTATAAACATTAGTATATTAATTAAATGATTAGAAATTTAATTAATTATAATATTAAATTATAGATTTATAGTATGATTACTTAATTCATTATAACATTACATTATAGTATGATCACATAATTAATTATAACATTACATAATTAAATGATTACTTAATTAATTATGACATTATATTATAAACATTAGTAATATACTAATTTACACAATACTTAATTAAATGATTAGAATTTTATTAATTATAATATTATATTATAAATTTATAGTATGATTACTTAATTAATTATAGAATTCTATTATAAACAATATTACATACTTAATTAAATTATTAATAATATAATTAATTATAATATTACATAATAATTAAACAGTATATTACTTAATTAATTATTATAACATTATAATTTACATTGTAATATGATCACTTAATTAATTATAACATTATATAATTAAATGATTACTTAATTAATTATGACATTATATTATAAACATTAAACATAAGTAATTAATCAAATTATTATAAATTTAATTAATTATAACATTACATTATTGTTAAATGACTACTTAAATAATTATAAGTTTCTATAACATTACATTATAATTTAATAATTACTTAATTAATTACAACATCACTACATTGAATTATAAACATTATTAATTTATAATATTAAATTTACAGGTTATGAGTTACATTGGGCACAAATGAATGAGTAATCACAATTTGTTAGGGGTGTATTTGTAAACTTTTAAGATATTTTTGTCATTTTTTAAACTAATAGGAGGTAATTATTTTTTACAGGATACCCGGGAAAGGAACCGGAACCTGCATTTTAGGTTTCGGTTCCTTAAATTGAAGAACCTGTACTGTGCGGTTCCAGTTCCGGTTTCTTTTGTTGTGAACTTGCACAGTGCGGTTCGGGTTCTGGTTCCCCTGAAAAATGTAGGGTACCTAGGACCGCTCAACCCTACCTATCTTATTCGTGTTTTTGAAGTAAACATAAAATCACTATCACAAGGAGGTTTCAAAATTACTAATAGTCTCATAATAAATTTATGGGAGAATAACATTTTCCCACCTAAGGTTTGGGAAAACAACCTTTCCCATCCTTCAAGTTTCAAAATGATAGTGTCCCACCATTTATTAGGTTCTATTATGTTTTCTATTAATATTTGATTAAAAATATGAAAATATCCTTAAATATTTGATTTTATTATTTTTTAATTAGCCAAAGAGTCAAATATTAAAAGTTAAAAAAAAAAAAAAAAAAAAGATAGCCCCAACTAAAAAGTTAGGAGTAATGTTTTGGAATTGTTTAAAGTTAATTGACCTTAATATTTATCTATTTATAGTGTCATCAATATCTCGTCACTATTATTCGATAAACTACTAAATTTATAATGTTTTTTATAATATAACATTTTTCATTTTTACTAATTAATATAAAAAATTTAATA